CGCGTTTCGCGCTCTCGTCGTCTCGAGGGTCTCGTCTCGCGTCTCTTTTTTAAACATTTTCAGCGACAGCCGCTGGTGTGTGCGGACGCTGCGACGCTAGCGTGCCGGCTACCAGCCATGCCGTCATGCTGTGAAACGAAAAAAACCATGAATTTGCTCGGCGGGAGTTACTTTGTGAGCTGAGACACTTGCGCTGAACCTGCACAGCGCGCTTGTTTGTCTCGAGTTCAGTCGTTTCACAAAGTGCTCCAAGAAGTTTTTTACCCTGGCTCGCAATGCCTTGCATGGATGCGCTCAAATTTTTTTTTTTTTTGTGTTTAGTTTGTACATTGTTTGAAAGCCTGGCAAGCACATTTTGCATACAATTCTGAGAATCGGTTGGCGACGGAGCGGAGTGGTAGGGTTTCGGTTTCGATCAAACAGCCCTTGTCTCCGCCCGTTTGCTTACTTTTGACAAAAATCTGGCATGTAGGCAACCATTAAACAGTGGCAAGCGGTTTTTCGGAATTGCTCGGCAACATTTACAGCAATGCACACTTGTGGGATGTCTCAGCAGTAAAAACACAAGCAGCGAGTTCTGTCACAACACGTCGCATCAGTGCACAACACAAAAGTGCCCGTCGTTTGTACTGCACTTAAAACGAATATTCTTATTTTTCTAAGAATATCTTCTCCAAAAGGCACTTTGCTGCTCCAAAACACTGTTTTGGTTGGTCCAAAAGCCACTTTTGCTGCTCCAAAACATTGTTTTGGCTGTTCGAACAAGCAGTTCAAAGAGGAGTCGAACTGCTTGTTTTGTGTGCGATACTTTCTGATGAAGGCAGTGCAAACTTGTCAGACTTGTCTAATGTTTGCACCTTGACATTGGAATTTTGTTGTCTTTGACTTTCCTTGTCTTGTTTCTCTGATCTCCCCAACAGTACCGGTCGAAGCAGCCTTCCCGGACGATGGCGACAGCGAGAGCGACTCCTCTTCCCGAAGAAGCGGACTGGTTGAGTTGCAGCCCACGACGCGGCCACGATATGAGGGCATGTACCACTGCGAGTTCTGCCCTTACTCCAGTCATAATCTTTGTGATGTCACCAAGCACGAAAGGAGACACACTGGAGAGAAGCCTTTCCACTGCTCTGTCTGCGAGAGAGCGTTTGCTGTAGTCAGTATCTTACAAAATCACATGAGAACTCACACGGGTGAGAAACCATTCTGTTGCGAAATTTGCCAGAAGGCGTTCGCCAGAAACGAGGGCCTGACGATTCACAAAAGATTACATACGGGCGAGAAACCGTACAAGTGTGGCACCTGTGAGAAAGAATTTTCACATAAATCCGGCTTGTTGTGTCACGAGAGAACCCACAGTGGGGAGCGGCCTTACAAGTGTGATGCCTGTGGGAAAACGTATATACAGCGTTGCCATTTAAATAGCCACCGGAAACAAGTGCACGAGTGAGGGATCTGTGTCATGCAATATCTGGAGTTATGGAAGAATTTTTTCATGTTTCACCTTGCACTTCACTGTCTGTCTGTTGTTTGTTTAAATGAAATTCTGAAATGGAGGCACATTCATCATCTGTAAACATTATCAGTTACAATTAGGCAACAGCTGTGGTACTGCTATATAGCATTTTAGTTTAATACGCTTTGGCAGCTTTTAAAAAGCTTTGTGATAATTTTTGTTTTATGAAGTATAGAGCTACTTTTAATTGTTAACTTTGAATTAATTGCATTCCGGCTTAGTAAGGCACCTTGAATTCTATGTCTAGATTTTGTGATGACATTTTGAAAAGTGATTTTTCTGAAGTTATCTGGATTTCATGTATTGTTAACCTAGTTCTTTGATTCTCCTCCGTTCTTTGTGGATTCAGTGAATCGCGAATAAACTGCTTTCCTCTACAAGGCGTTGCTTTACTGCCTCACTGCTGTTGATGAGATTTCTACGAGCAACGGGCAATACCAATGTAAGCTTTGATTTCAACCATGCTTCGTAGAATAAAACGTAGGGTAATAAGAAACATTCGTAGGGTAATGTAGGGTTTTCTGAACGCTGCCGTGGGGTATTTTCAAAATATAGGTTGGCAACACTGGCCGTGCGCCGTTTTGACGGCTGCGATGGCGGCAGACGACGGGTGCCTCTGTTTAGAACTGTTGTTCACGGTACCGGCGAATCTGTCCTGCTTCTAAAGAAAAATCGTTTACCGATCAAAGCAATTAGGATACCTTCCGGACGACACGCCCGACCACCGAGCTGATGCGCACGAAGACGTCGCCCGAGTTGTCCCCCCTTCTCCTGGCTGACGACATCGCTCGTCTGACGAACACGAATTGGCAAGAGCTCGAAAAACGTGCAAACGTCGCGGCTTACGGCTTGTTTCGTAAACGCAGCCCACGCGCATGACTTCCCCGATAACCCGAGTGTTCGAGGTACCGGGTGGCGTACCGGGTGTCTGCATCGGGCAACCTGACGGGAGGAAAAGAAGTAACTCACCTGCGCCCTAAAATTACGCTGACCGAAAACATGGTGAGACCTCCTCTCTGCCTCACCTTGTTTTTCCTGTCTTTGTTTTTATTCCCCAACTGCAGGAGTTGATTCCTTAGGCACGGGGGAGAAGGCTAATCCGGTTATACCATGTGTGACGGCCAGTGCGCGTGTCTAGCTTGTCGCCATAGTTTTGTGGGGCGTCACTGCTTTGGTTGGACAATTGACGTAACAGTATTTCAGGAAGCTCTGGGAACATCCGCCAGGTGCAATTTGGTAGTTGTCCGATTGGTATTGATGGCGGTGGCCTGTAATAAGGCGGAGCCTCCGGGGCAATAACGGGGGCGCGCGTTAACCCATCCGCCGCGCTGCGCGCTTTACGCAGCTTCGCGGCGACAGTCTGAAGCGGCTCATTACAAAAAATGTGAACCCACATGTGTGTGTGTATTGGCCCACACGTAAACGCCGCTTCGCGGCGCCCAACTATTCGCTAAAGTATCATTCGGTGAACCGCCCCCTCAGGAGGCTCCGCCTTATTACAGGCCAGCGACATCAACACCGTCCGATTCAATTTAAATAAAAATTTTGTGTCTTTGAGCAGAATGTCCGTGCCTCTGTGGGTCTGCCACAACGTAGTTAACATTTAAACAAAAGGTGCTAAAATCAGGTTCCTAGTTTTTACAGCGAAGCTGTATACCTCTACCAGCCAGGGAAATTTTCGTGTCGTCGTTGTAAGCAAAAAAAACTCGGGCGAACAATTGAAAGCAAAACACCATATCAGGCATACAGCTCAGTTTCCGTTAAAAAAAAAAAAAAAAAAAAAAAAAAAAAAAACAAGCATCAAAATTACATGATGCATGATAAGGCGCGTGTGACCAATAGGAACACCCTCCCACGCGTTCGGGTAAAGATTAGGTTTGCAGCTGCTTCGAAAGGGGTTGACGTCATTCAAAGCCCTCGTGTGAAGTGCCAACCGCATAATGGATGATAACGGCGCCTGCTGTTGCGGCGACGGCAGCTTGAACGTGAGGGGTGACGTCACTAGCCTTTCATATATAAAAGAAGAACCCGCCTATACCCTGTTTCACCTTACGTCCGGACGCAGCGGATGCTACGAGCTATCTTAGCCAATCCTGTTCTGTGGACGTGGCCTGTGATAGGCTTTCCGCGCGTCACTGTGCCCCCTCTCCAAGGTCACGTCACACTCACACGGCCTCCGAATGGCTGCGATGACTGGTAACATCCGCTGCTCTTAAACGTAAGATGAAACGGAGTATAGCAACTGGTTTCATTGTTGCTGCAGCACCGCAATGAATAGGCCACTCATAGTTAGGACTCCCAAATAGCAGCGTGAATACCAGGAGCGGCAAGGGAAACAAAACGGGAGTACGACCAGCGGCGGTTTGCTGCGACCGGCAACGGCATTTCGTATAGTGCAGTAGGCAATTGTTGCAGGTGATACCACAGCTTTGCTGACCAACCACCTTCAGAGCGTGGATTGGAGCCCCAACTTTTTTTTATTACTCTTTGCTCAGGTAAGTTAATTTATTTTTATTTAATATTTTGATGCACAAAATGCTCTTTTTTTGGCGACCCGTGTACAAAATGTTAGTGCAAAGCGTTAAGGAACCGATTTATGCGGTCCCTTCGAAGGGCTAACAGTCACTTCAACTTGCGTTGTACGTTGCGCCGCGATCGGGACAATGGTTACTGGCGACAAATACCGGCCGGCCGATGCAATTTGAGTGAATGAGTCTTTGCCAGTTTTCATTTCTTTTTCTTTGGCAGCCGGGCAGCATTTCAACGACATTGGTGCAACAAACGGCTCTTTCATAACCTCCACGTTGCGTGTTGCTTGCAAAAGCCAGTATCCGCTACTTCTGGGAAACTCTTTTCAGTAGTCATTGTGCTCGTGACAAAACTGGATCTCAGATATCTAGAATACCTCTTTCCAAGCCAGCAACCGTCCCAGGCAGCACAGGGAATTTTCGAGTTCCATTCAGGCGTAAAACATTGTGTCTTTTTTCTATGCACTGCGACGAAACCCGTAAAAACCATCTGGTTGGCACTGTGCTCACGGATGGCCCAACACAAACCAGAAGCGTGAAAGTTTTTTTGAGACAAGCACCTGAAAGCAGATGAGAGCGTGTGTGTCTGTACTTCCTTGTCTCTGCGTGTTTTTCTGGCGCCTACCTACGTGAAAAGAACAGGGTTTTTTTAGGCTTAAATTTTCATCCTGAAACCCACACTCGTGAAATTCGAGCACAATGAATGCACCACCATGCACCCCTTTTATAACAAATTATTTTATGCCCGAATAGTGCTCTGAAACACACTGTAGACTGGTTGCCAAAGATTTAGGCACAACCCATCTTTTTTTTTATATATAGATCGGGATTTGTAGATTAACATCTCCTATTCGAGTTTGGTAAATGTCACTAGCTTTTCTCGAATGTAAGAAGGCTTAGCAATCTTTTGGTTGTTCGTGCCTGCTCCCCTGCCCATGAAGCTAACCTAACTGTTGTGCATGTCCCAGTAATTACACAGGTGCTTCAGTCGAGTATGTGCCACATAGATTTTACATGCTGCTTTCTACTTGTAGGAACATTGGACCGTGACGGCATCGGGAATCAATCTCTTTAATCACGCGCTCGCCAGAGCGTGAGCAGTCGGTGTGATGCTCGCACTCCGAGCGAAAAAGAAAATGAAGTAAATAACAAAGTTCTTTTTCAGTCAGGCTTGCTGGGCCACCACACTACCGTTCCATGGCGATCACCAGTCGCGTCGCTATATGGTGAGTGCCCCCTCTTTTTTTCTTCTGGGTCCTCTTTTTTTTTTTTGGGGGGGGGGGGGGGGGGGAAGGGAAGGGGGAAGGGGGAAGGGGTTTCAGAGGGAATAATAATAATTGCATGTACCGTACACACAAGTAGGTTGCATTGCTTTTGCCTTGTCTGATGCATGCTATCCTTAAATTTGTATGTTATGTATGAGGAGAGCTTAGAGTGAATAAAGCACTTTCAACTTGAAGTTTAATGGTCCGAGCATACTGGACACAAATATAAATCTAGCTGGCTTCAAGTGTTTGCATGATTTCTGGGGTGTCAACTATTACATCCCTGGATTACCTAAACTGCAGTTGTATATCAGATTCGAATATTGGTTGAATTAGGATATTCCCGAGTTCTTCGATTTGTGCTTAGAAAGTCTTGCAGGTGCTCTTCGTCTTGGCATATCGGTGAGCATACTTACATCTTCTTTTCGAAATGAAATTGATGCACATTCTCTCGTTCGAACTGGGGGTTTTTGTCCTCGAACACGTCGTAGACTACATGTAGGTAACTTTCGACCATTTCTCTCCTGTACAAAAACAAAATAGCATCTGCCCATACAGGTACTTCTCTAGGGAAGTCCTCACGTGCATCAATAGCTTCGTTCTGCTACGCTTCCAGAAATTAAAAGGAAAAAGCCATAAATAATGCATGAAATCTTGCATCTGAAACACGCAAACGTAGGTGCCTACATCAGAGTTTGTCAGAAACAACTGCAGTCAAAAATAAAAGTTTTGCGGTTTCATTTTAATAATGTTAGATTGCATCCTTTTTGAAAGGTAACCCACAGAAGTTTTGGCATATTTAGCTGAGAAAAACAGCTCGGTGATATCGATCAAGCTCGATGATCACATAGTTGAAAAAAATGAGGAAATACTGGACATGTTTAACAAGTTTTTCTCGACGGTGTACACAAACGACAAACGCTTCATGCTGTACGATGGCAACTCTCAGTTGCCATTGTACAGCATGAAGCGTATCATAATCCCAGAGGTTGTAATGTCTATGGCGGGACTTTTCGATTGCCTGCTTCGGCTCTACGCCAAAAGGTCCTGCGCAATGGATGAGATGCCAAAGATATGTCTGCGCAGGTACGCCAAATGGTACTCCAAATTTTTTTATGTCATTTACACATGTAGTCCTGATGCTGGAGTGGTACCCAATGAGTGGAAAAATGCCTGGGTTGTTCCAGCGTAAAAATCTGGCATTGCCTCGGATGTGCAAAATTACAGGCTAATCTCGTTATGTTCAAGTGGCAGTGTTATTGAATATTTGTTATGCACCCACCTAACAATCTTTCTGGAAGCAAGCAGCTTCAGCAGGGATCAACACGGCCTATCGGCAGTCGCACAACCCTCACACACATTCCACATACTAGCAAAAATACTTGACGAAAACATTGTTGGAATTAAGGGCCTTATGAATACATTGAAACCATAGCAGCACAACCAAAATCTTGGCATTTGGATGAAATAAGCAAAGCTATAAAATATCAGAGTTTATTTATAGCGAGCCTACTGCATAAAAGTTGGCACTTGGTAAAAGCACTGCTATAATGCGGTTGATGCGACCAATAACACGAAAGTGTGTCGACCAATAACGCGAAAGTGTGTATTTGTAAACAAATCTGTTGCAATAAGCCGGGGCGCAAGCCCTTGCGGTGGGATGCCGCGAGGGAAGTCAACCCCACCTGCCCGTGGTGCGCCCTGCCAGCTTGTGTGCTGCAACGGAGGCTGTGGCGGCTATTCCTCTACTGAGGGGTGGGCCCCCTGACAGGGGTCTGCCCTTGGGAAAAAGGGAAAAGCAAATATCACTACGGCGGCGGTTGTTGGTGCAGGGATGCCCTCGACCGTCGTCGACCCACTGGTGTTGATCTTGGGTGGCCCTTCGCGGAGTCCTTTCCTTTTCTTGGTCTTTCCTTGGTTGTTTCTTGGTGTGGCCCAGTTTTCTCTAAGTACAGTTCTCAATTGGCTTTTTGGTGAAATTCTCACACGACACAAGGAGCCAATTCATTTATACCGCATTGGCTTTAAATCGGCTGTGCCCATTGAGGCGGTACTGATTGAGGCAATTTTTAGTTTTCAAATTTTTTACTAGCCTCACCTTATCAAATGTTGCAATGGGCCCTTTTGCAAATGCTGACCCCTACGTCCCACACATTCTTCATGTACACTGCATGAGTGCGTGTGTTACTTTGTAGAACTGTCCATCACAGCCCCAGATGTAACTACAGTGTCATAGGTGATGCATGCAAGAGAACATTGCTTGGCCGTCTTTTAAAGACTTGCTTGCGAATGTCAAGTAAATTTTTCATTCCATATTTCTTTCTGCTGGAATGCACACTGGAATGCCAGTTGCCAGTTACTATGAAAGGAAATTCCAGAAAATTTGCATTTCTCAAACAACAAAAAAAAAGATGATGGAAAAAAATCTTTTTTTATATACTGTGAACGACTTATTTTTTGCGGGCTCAATATTTCGCGATTTAGGTCAAAGCTGAAATCTTAGAATCATTCGCGGGTTCTAATTTTTGCGACGCGGCGGGATCTCAATATAGATTCCGACGTGTTTACATTTTACCCGATTTGTTCGCGGGACCTATTTTTCGCGAACTATAGGCGATTCCCGAAATTCGCGAAAATTTGGTCCTCGCGAACATTAAGTCGTTTACAGTATTTACCTTGTTTTGCTAATTACAATTTTTCATAATAAAGGAACATAAAAATGCAAAATCCATGTTCATAGTAACCATCTTCATAAAATTTTGGCTTATAAGCCACAAATATTAAGTCTCTATAGTTTCATACGGAGACAATGGTTTTATTAAAATGCCCTTGAAAAGAAAACCTTTTTCTTAATGCCTGGTTGGGGCATGTGTGTAAAAAAATCAGGGTATCGAAGCGAACCCGAACCCTGAATTGAAAACCGGAAAAAAACGTTATTTTCGCGCGAACCGAAGTTGACCCGGAACTAAATCATTTTTTTGCTCCGGAGCGGAACCGATATGTTTCCTATGCGGTCTTAGGTTCATACGCGAAGGCAGGTTGTGTGAAAAGTGCGTGGCGAAAAACACAGTAACCTTAAAAGTAAACCAAAGAATGAAAGAAAAGCAAATATTTTTGTGCAAATCGGAGTTGAGTTGGACCGAAATAATTATTTTTTCGTTCCTGGGCAAAACTGATCAATCATTCTTGCAGTGTTTCGTTCATGTGGGAAGTCAAAAAGAGAGAAAAAGAAAAGGCAGCGGAAAGCTCTATAACGTTCCATTATCAGGTTTTCAGAGAACGGTCGTCTTCATAATTTATAAAGCTCGTCTCGAGAACTCAAACGAAATGAGCACAGTAACGATAAATTCTCCGAGATTTCTGGTCTTACGTATTCCTTTAACAAATGCCCACGTTCGTCCTAACCTTTTCATGGGGACCGGAAGTGGCTTATTAAAAAAAATTTAACGCCAGAACATAGCCAATTTGTACGTCAGCAAAAGTGACCAATAAATGAGCCTGTTTGGTCGCAAAATGGCGAGTTGGGCTAGTTGGTTTTTCATCTCGGACTGAACACAGAAAAAGAAACCTCTTTTTGTCCTTGTTTTTTTTAGCGTTCAGTTTAAACTTTTTTTTTGTTTTCAATTTTTTAGAGTTGTGTGCAATTTACTTTAAACGCCTTGATTTCATTGTACAACTGATCCGATAAGAAAGCGATACAAAGGCCGGTGGATATTTGATAACCTGCGCTAGTTGCCATACTGTGGCGCATCAAATCTGCTTTTAAAATAACTCGGCGAATTTAATAATGTGTCCGAAATGAAAGTCTAGCACCGGGAAGGGGAGGGGGGATTCAATCAACAGTTACAGCTACAGAAAACAGCTTCAATCTGTGGTAGCAGAAACAGCAAAGACCAAACCGTTTTCTCTGAAACACAAGCATCAAGGCGCACAGCTCTTCTGAGCATTGCTAGACAAGGAGCCGCGGCTTTCAAGGGACGCTAACGTGTTGCAGTTTTGGGAGGAGAGAAGAGAACGCCATTTAGAACTCTACCCGTTGGCGCAAGTAGCCCTGGAAGTGTCTGCGACCCAGGTCAGCGTGCAGCGAGCCTTTTCTGCACTGAAGTTCATTCTGTCGTCTCAGAGGTGTCATCTTTCTCCGGATATGCTTCTCCGGTCAGCTGCCTGACATTGAACAGCGCTTTTACCCACGTCCCGAGGTGCCCCAGCACTAGCTCGTTCGTTCCACACAGTAATGTGAGACTTTGCTTTTTATATGCGACACTTTTATAAAATATTTATAGTTTATCTTTTGCTGCCGTCAATTTTTTTGTAGCATACGAGTACGAACCGGTTTGAACCTGTATTTTTTCACTCCGGAGTTGAACCGGAGCTGAACCATTTTCCCTGAACCGGAACGAAAAACGTTCCAGTTTGACACCCTGAAAAAAAATTAATTTTACGCAAAAAAATTTTTTAGAGCAATATTGATGGCGAGAGATTTATTTGAAAATCTGCGCGCAAAGTCCATGACGTCACCGAACGCTCATTCTCTCTCTCCACCTCAATGTAAAGGCGAAGCCGATCCACCGCTCTTCCATGCGCCCGAAATACCGAGAGAAAACAAGGGGAAAGGAGGTGACAACCGACTAAATGGCATCTTGCGCCGTCAATATTGCTCTTAAAATTTTTTTTTTTTTTTATTGAAATTTATTTTTTGACACACATGTCCTAACCAGGCTGTTTAAAAAAACTTTTTTCTTTTCAGCGGCTCTTTAAGGTGGGATTTATGCCAAAACGTGGATTGGAGAAAAACTCAAAGTGTTTGAAACTCTACCTTTTCTTTCGCATTAGTGAACTGAAAATAGTTTACAAAAAAAAAAAATAACTTTGCACTGTAAACAAATGAAACTTTCTGGGAATACTCTCTAAATATTGGCAGATGTAAATGGAGCATTTTTCAATATCAACTTTTTTATCTGGGTAGTTTTCTCCCTTAATATGCAACAATTCAATTTCAGCTTTTTCTCTGAAAAGTGAAATTTGTGTTTTCATTTATTGTTTTGTTTACATTGACAAAACGTTTTCTGATCACGCCTGTTACCAATTTTTCTTTTTGCTTTGATCTGCTTTCGGTGTTTATTTCAGTGTGCCGTTTTTAGAGTATTAAAAAGCAGCTAAAGACTTACCTCACACAAGCGGCAGTATATTTGCTCATCATTCTCTTCTCAACGTTGCAGGTACACTCTGGCAACTGTCGCAAGGTGCGGCAAATGGCACATTGTTGCGTTGCAGGGAGACTTCTTCCGACTTGCCAACTCAACTTTTGGGAGCATGCATCCTTTGTGCAGTGTTCTTGCTTATCCCAGTTCAGCATCATTGAATCAAAATCAGCGTCTCCTATTGCACCGGACGGATCCCAGTTATTTAGATTAGCACAACTAGTCGACCAATGTGATAATACTTAAAAAACAAGCGAGCTGGTGATGATTCATGGTAATGAAACCCGAGACTCAGGAACACAGAAGGGGACGAGCACAACACAACGTCTCAACAGTTTGACACATTGTGTTGTGTTCGTCCCCTTCTGTGTTTCTGAGTCTAGGGTTTTATTACCATGAATCAACCAATGTGATTGCATTCACCCCCACTTCATTTGTGCAAACAAAACCAGTGTGATGTGGTTGTCTTGCAGCGCTTCCTCTTGCCTGGTGTTTTAGACAACAAGATGTCAGCCAGTGGCGTCACAAGGGGTGGGGGGAAAGGTGGCAGACCGCCCCGGGTGCAGCACGCGGGGGGGCAGTCGCGGCGGCCACGCGAGAGCAGGGGTGGGGGGGCGCGGGAGGAGGGGGTCGCGGCGGGCTGCCACCTTGGGTGCCGCTGACCCTCGTGACGCCACTCATGTCAGCCATTGTGGTTTTTTAACCACATTCTTTCACTGGAAACAGTGCGTGGATACTCAAGTAGTGTGTGATTTTTCATTGATGTAGTGATATTGACTGTACAGTGACCTTTTCGAGAACATTATTAAAAAGGACAGAATTTAAAGCCTACATTCTATCTTCACTGCTGCCTTATATTTCATGGCAATTCCCAGGTCCAGAGATTAGGCTCTTTTATTGTTCTTTGATGCTATTAAGATGCGGGATGAGCTTATTCATTGAAAGATAAACCGCACATGGAAATTGTTTGCATGAATGGGCTATGCTCATTCAAAGTGTGATGTTACTTTCATGTAATAACAACCTTACAGCTTTTCTTAATACTTGAAGTGTTCTTATTTGCCGAGTTTGTCTTCTTTGTTCTGGAATGAACAGGTGTCGGTACGCTTGTTTGTGTGTGCTAGTTCCTGCTGGACTCAATGCAGACTTGACAAGTTTGTCAAATGCTTGCGTGTTGGCATTGGGCTTTAATTATCATTGACTCTCTTTGTTTTTTGCGTTTCACCAATAGTGCGGGGCGAAGCAGCCTTCTTGGAAGATGAAGACTACTTCTCTTGCCCTACAGGGGAACCGGTCGAGTCGCAACCCATGACGTGGCCACGACGTGGGATCCTGTTTCACTGCGAGTTCTGCCCTTACACCAGTCTTTATCAAATCGATGTCACCAGGCACGAAAGGACACACACAGGAGAGAAGCCTTTCCGCTGCTCTGTCTGCGAGATGGCATTTGCTCAAATCGGTAACTTACAGACTCACATGAGGACTCATACGGGGGAGAAACCATTTCGCTGCGAGGTTTGCCAGAAGGCGTTCACCAGACCTTATGTCCTGAGGATTCACAAAAGACTCCATACGGGCGAGAAACCATACCAGTGTGGCACCTGCGAGAGAGAATTTGCACAGAGATATAACTGGTTGCGTCATGAGAGAACCCACAGAGGGGAACAGCCTTAGAAGTGTTAAGTCTGCAGGAAAACGTTTAACTGCATGGTTAATTTAAGTGGGCATAGAAACAAGAATGCACACGTGAGGAATCTGTGCCAGCGAATTTCTTGAGGTCGTTCGTGTGGAAGAGTTTTCATGTTTTAGCGTGTGCTTCACTGCCTGTATTGTGTTTGTTCACCTGATGTTGAGAAACAGGGATATTCATCAGTTATAAACATTATCAGTTGCAGTTAGGCAACAGCTGCAGTGCTGCTGAGTAGCATTTCTTTTTCTTTGGGAGGTGGGGGTTTCAATGGTTTTATTGAATAAAGTTTTGCAGCTTTTAACTTTGGATTATTTTTGTTTTACGACGTATAGAGCTCCTTTTAAGTGTTCATTTTGATTGGATGAGGAGCATTGCAGCTGCAATTGCAATTTTTCTATTTTTATGTATTGTGGTTCTATAACTAATAGTGTATACTCCTGCAAATTTTTATTGCAATATCTGAAATGAGAAATAATAATAATAAAAAACATTACGTAAGTCAGCGACGCAAAATCGCATGTTTTTGAAATGGGAAACTTCTGTTTCCTATTTTCAAACTTCTGTAGCTTTGCACCGGTATGCCCTGGAATGATAATCATACTCTCGTTGGAAAAAGCATTTCTTCACGGTTTCAGTACAATAAATATCTTTGTTCGAGAGTAAACTCTATTCGGGCAAAAACACTATCGAAGTCTAGCTTTCATGTAGGAGTGGCTGTGCATATGGCCAAGAATCAAAAAGCCCACCCGGATTGAACACAAAACTGACTGAAACCAGCATTCGGTTATAGAAACTCGGGTGGGTTCGTCTGCTTTGTATTTTAATGATGCCTGCCATGCCCAGACTTGCTGATGTTGGATTGTGTATTGCAAGCATACCCAATTCCTAATGTTAACAATGTAATAAAGTAACTCATTGGAAAAGGAACATGTGTAGCTAACGTCTTGGTTATCGTTGTACTGTACAGAAATAGAAACGAAATCTTGCAAGTTGTTAAAGGGATACTGAACCAGACAATGTAGTGTCCCGAAAAAGTGGCGCTCGACCTTTCTACGAGCCAACGGGACAATGAATGTCCACATGCCGACAACAAAATGACACTCGCAGAAAGCTTTTTAAGCTCAGCAAAGCCATGCTGGAGATTAGGTGTAAGCAGAAAGCACCGCCTATGCTCTTGGAGCCTTTTCGTTGCCACCACCACCACCAGTCAAATCAAATGTAGTGGTGTGGAAACTTAAAAACAGGTTTTTCTCAGTTTCACTTCTTTTGCAGCAGCTTTCGTTTTACGAAATCTATCCTTTCAATGAATCGCTGAATGTATTCTTTGCTGCGGATGTTTCTGAACCGAAATTTAAATGAAATGAAATTTAAATTAAAAAAAAAATAACAAGACTCCACCATTCAACATGGAAAGATCGTTGTTGACGTTACTTCCCTCTCTCTGGTCGCCGTGGGTCAAGGCCCTGGGTCCTGGGAGTTCAAAAAGCGCAACATAGAGCCCCTGGAGTTGGCTGGAGTCCGGGCATTCGAACGACACGCCCTGCATTCTTCTGTGCTGAAAGGCCCATACCGAAACTGAAACCTAAATCCTGCTACACGTGTCCAGTTTCTAGGCATTCTACAAAAAGCACATACACACAGGGGGGTAAAGGTGGGTGAGGAGGAGTGGCAAATCCCGTGCGCCGATACCCGGGGTCCCGAGTGAAAGATCGCAAAAGAGAGCGTCAGAACACGAGAGAAAGAAAGCAACGTTGCCATGGTAAACGCGAAGAGTGAAAACTCTCGGCAATATAAACAATGATAATTTAACGTTGTAAACTAAATTCTGAGCTATTCTAACGCTTATAAAAAGCAATAAAGTCATTACGCTGCATTAACTTCCCTTCTGTCGAAATCTCGGAAATCTGGTGGTTGCGCAGTTTCGTATTCCTCAATCGCGCCCAGACGCGCCCACCGGCGAAGCCGGGTATATGGTTTAGTTTAGCGTTAACGCGAGGCCGTACATCTGCGCGCTATGCAAAAAGAAAGCTTCGAAAGGAACGCGAGTATCTTTCCACCGGTAAGTTCGTGGATTGTTGAAGTTCACGAAACTGCTCTGATGATGTAACCGTGTTTAAACCCCGAGGGTCTGCCTGCATGATCCGCCGCTTGCGGCAGCCAGAATGTATGGGAAAATGGCGGACCTTTTCCTCTAGAGTTAGTATGTATGATCTCTATGCATACACATTACTTTTATGGCCGGCTTTTGGGTCGACCCGGTCGACGCAACGCTAAACGTTGCGTCGACCCAAAACGTCATATCCGGTTTTTTACAACGCATGGGTCGCAAAGCTTTTACATACTATATTGCTAATAAACTATTTTAATGTTAATGTGTTATTAACTCATTACAAACCCATTAGTTTTTCAACAAAACGATATTGTTACTCTGATGTCATATCCGGCTTTAGATTAATTTAAAATACAAATGAGTCGCTTGTGTTATATACTTGCACTTGTTTGAAATTTGTTTTAATTATTATCTATTAAGTTAGTAAGGCAAACCCATGCCATCAATGACCAGGACCAAAAATCGCTGCCACCTCGCGCTCCGGTTCAAGAGTACGCACACATGTTTACAAATGGCGGCGCTATGGCAAGTCAGCTGTCGGGACTATTCGGTTATTTAGAGAATTTCATGTAGTTCTTAACAAATTAGTGTATCAGGGAGCCCATGTATGCATCTTGATAATATAGCCAAGCCTGCATAACCTTCGCGATCCTAACTATCGCTGCTCACCAGAGCAGCACTGACCCCAGCGCGTCCTCCCCGCTCGCCGAAAACCGCTGAGCCACAAGCATGCAAGATCACGCTGGACCACTGCGCTGGACGCTCACGCGATGCCAGAAAATCACTGAAGGTGGAAGCCTCGCCGGCCTCGCGCCGAAAGCAATGTGTTCCCCATGCCTGCGAGCGAGCTGAGAAACACAAGTACGAGAATATTGTCTTGAGCAGCGTTTACACTGCACGAGAGCGCTTGCACACCAGGCCACCTCGGAGTGTAGAGCTTTTCGTTGCTTTGGCCTCTCCCTCCGTCGTCCTTCCATATCTCACGACGATAACAATGTCTTGCCTAAGCGTACCAGTGGTACGATCTCGGGAAGAACAGACCACCTTACCGAAGCCCAGTTACACGAGCATCCCAGCGGTTTCTGGGAAGAGGAGGCAGGGGGACATTCCCCTGCCTCCTCATCCCAGAAATATATATGCACTACATTAATAAGAGTGAATACAGGGTTACTTCTCTTGTGTTCCCCTTGTCCTCTTTTTTTTTTTTTTTTTTCTTCTTCTTCTTTTGTGTGTTGTGTTTTTAGTGGGAGAATGTGAAAGTGTAAAATGCTTGGCATTAATTTTCCGAAGCAAATGTAGATGTGATGGATGCCTCGGGAAGAACTAAGGATTAATTTGAACCACTTCACTTCGGTTTTCTTTTCACATGCATGAAAGACCTCTATTACACAGTAAGTAAAGCTACTGGTAGATTAAGCTGCACATTTTGCCTTTTTAGTTACCTATCTATGATGCTGGCCTTGAAGGTGCACTTATGTAAGCATTGACAATATTTTCATCTGTGTTGTACCCTGGAACCCAGCATGCTTACACTGAGCTTACAAAAAAAAAAAATGGGAGGGCAGTTTTTATACTGAGAGCAACATGGTTGTTTATTTCTTTATTCTGTATTACCCTGTCAAGGTATTACAATTGGAAAAGTAAAAGTTTGAAAAAAAAAAAAAGAAAATTCTTTTACCTGCACCAGAAAACTTAAAATGCAAATTTGCAGGAATAATTTATTCGAGGCACCAAACATGATAACCACTGGGGGACCACTCAGGCAATACGCATGCACGATCAAATGTCTGACTGGTCCTACGACATACCAGAAAGATTGTCGAACCTCATCAGGTGCCACCCACTCGCTGCATCGTGTGTATTCACGCATAGGCGTAGACTACGGGGGGTCATCGGGGCTTGGTCCCCCCTAATGAGATCCGGGAGGCTCCATCCCCCCCGGGCCTGGGCCATGATCCTTACCGAGACGCTGTTTCTAGTAGTGGCATGTAAACAAAATAATGCCCACGTTGCCTTTATTGACAAAATGCATGAAACATAGAATCCCTGCGTGCTTCTGGGGGGGGGGGGGGGGGGGGGGGTGCTTTTCCACTTGAGCGGAAAACACCTCCCCCCCCAAGAAGATGGAAAGTTTACGCCGCTGCATTCATGTGAGTCTGTGATTGTTGGTGTCTGATCGGGTTCAGCAGTCTTTTCGGCATGTCAAACAACCAGTCGGATGTCGAGTCGTGTATGGCCTGCCCGGGCCCCCAGTGTTTACCACATAAAATGTGGCATTTCGCAGTCATAAATACGCGGGAAGCAGCTGTCCAAGCGTAAATGTAAAACTCAAAAAATAAAAAAAGAAGTCATTGTTCTTTTGTTTTTTTTTAGTAAAGGACTCTGACAACCGATATGACTGCAATATGCAAAAGTGGACAAATGACGAGAAAAAAACTTTCAGCCTCTCCACTGTGGTGAAGAAGAAAAACCAGCGGAGCTGAACAATGAAAAGTAACGGCTGGCCGCAAGTCAGCAAGCCAAAGTGGAAAGGCTGCCGCCACCCATGAACGACGGCGGCAACCAGATAGGTGGCTTGCCGCCGTCGCTCATAGATGGTGGTAGGTGTCCAGAGTTCGGTGTCTTCATTTCTTTGTGAGGGACACGATCCTGGGGAAACTAGCCCTTAACAGCTCCGCTGTAAAAGTGGTTCCAGCAGGGCATAGAGAAGCTGCCACACAAGTGATGCAAGGGCATTCAGCTCCTGTGGGAGTCTGTCAAGGTGGACATGCGTGCCTACATCTAGGTGACCGGTATCTGCAGCAGAAAACAAAATTGTGAATCCAAATAGTATGCTTCTGGTAATTGGCTCTAGATCATCTGGCCACTTGTTCTGTCTGTGGGTTGGGGTGAACGCTGCTAGTTTTTCTGAAACATTTTCCGCGACTGCCATTACATGAAGAGAAAAAAAGTGGAACTGGGCGTCGATTAAAAATTTTAACCCGATTGACACCCTTCATTCAATTAATTAATTGGTCTCGTTCATAACTCAAAATTACATATATATATATATATATTTTTTTTTTTTTTTTTTGCCTTTGCTTAATATGTGACAAACGGTGCAATATACAATTTTAATTACAAATCATTGTCGATATGTTGTTCTGTACAGTTCAGAGACACTCACACTCGCAGGTTATTACTTCAGCTGCTTGAGGCAAGGAAGTTTGTTCGTATTCTCCGGCAACAGCGGCCACCTTTGATCGTTCACAATAGTCTCTGCTGCACCAAACGGACACTCGCAT